TAAATAACCGTAACTGACTGCGAGGCGACTTTTCTTATTTTGATTTATGTTAATGTGCTGCGTCGCCCTCATGGAGCAGTGGTTAGAGCGTCTTCATTAGATTCACGAAGTAAGGAGCTGATCCTTACGTCGCGGGTTCGATTCCCACTGTGGGACACAGTAGGTGCTACCTTTCAGCTACCGCGAACGGTTCTTTTCGTTTGAAAAAAAAACTCTCTAATCTATAAGTATCAACAGAATAATTAAAACCTGATCTTCCTATTCAATTGGAAATATCATTGGAAATGTTTCCATAGTGACGTTATTCATTTTATTTATCTATTTATTTTCATGAGGAATTAATTCATACATTGTAATATTTTCCGAGAAATCTGTGACGCTATGTGCTAGAAATAGTTGTTATGGATTAAATGAGTTTTCAACATTTCAACATCATTTTTTTTCTTCATGACGTGATTTAGATAAAGATTTACAGGTAACATGAATACACGTCAAACTTTCTTTGTGTCGTTGCTAGAGGAGTGGTGTTGTTGCTATGGAAATAAGTCATTGAACAATATTCAATAACTTGATACAACATTTTAAAGTCTTTCCGAACTATCAACATGCAATTATCAGCATATTACTTGAATATCCAATTCCATGACAAACAATACAATCCCAAAGTCAAATCTGTTTTACAGGAGACATAGGAACTTTGGTTGTCATGTACACGGAATCCTTGCCATATGGGTTGATTAAGTACCAAAAAAAATAACAATAATAAAACCAACATTATATTGTCAATTTTGCTCAACCGGAGTTTTCTGACTTATTTTGAATAAGCCTTATAAGATTACACGAATACACGCCAAAATTACCTTTCTTTGCCTTGTTGCTATGGAGAACCTGCCATTGCTATGGAGATAAAGAATTATGCAATATTCAATAATGTGCTAGGGAGACCGAATTTAATCATACTATTTTAAAATGTGTATCTCGTTTATCATAAATAACCGTTCATTTGATTTTTCCGTAAACTTTTTACATTGTTTCTCATTTTATGCATCAAAAAGCCCATTTTTGTTCCTAGGCAACAGATTCGATTTTCAAAAGAGCCCACGGATTTGACTTCAAATTCTATAAGAGAGATACCTGTGCTTTAATGTGAGATACATGCAACAACTGTATTAATCTGGCCATTTTTAAAATTTGGCCTTGAATATTGCCAAAATCACGAAAAATGCTGAATCAGCAAAACTTGTAAAACATGTGTACCTTCTAATGTCTACCACAGAACTGACTTAAGACCTAAATATTTTTTATTACATTATTAGAACACAATAAATGTGTATCTTTATTACACCCGTAAGTAAGAATAATTCTCATGGTATTTACGTGTTATTTTAAGCCTCAAATATAGGTGATTTTTTGTCCTTCAACACTGAAAAATCCGCTGGTTGCTAAGGAAATTTCTTTGGCCGGGTTTCCATGGTTACCATGATTCAAAACATTTTTCATTTTACATACATTGTTCATACTTCAAAATAAATCTATGAGTGAAGAATCATCAAATTCTGAGAACCCTCATATATCACCCTTTGTCTGATTTTTATGTGGACTGGTACTTAAAAAGCTGTTGAGATAATTTTTTAGCGGTAATTTATGAAGTAATTATCTACAGAACCTTTCAGTTTAGAAGTGACTTATGAAATAACTTTTGACACAACCTTTCTTTTTAGTGGTCACATGTACCAATGAAGTGATCTTGACATAGCGTTATATTTTTAGTGGTGAACTACATTTGTATGTAGCAACTGTTGACGCAACCTTTACATGTAGTTGTGATCTAATTCATGAAATAACTAATATATGTGTCGAAACATTGCATCTGTAGTCTGTGAAGTTACAGTTGGCACAACCTTTCCTTTTTAGTGGTGACCTATGAAGTAACTGTTGATGCGACCTTTCTAAATACCAGTTCCTCAAGTCAAGGACGAGTCTGTATTAATCGATTAAAAACGTGTTCCAATAAAATATCTGGAAGCATCACGGTATTCAAAGCATCCTCAGAATTCAAGTGCGTTGATCCTTCCTTTGTTGTTGTTGTCAAAGATGATTGGGTAAGATTTTTTGGGGGGATATGAATTTTCTCTACTTATATGATATTTTGAAGAATCTAGAAGAAAATGAGTGAACTTGCATACATCTGAATACATCTTCTACTTTGATTGTCTGAAGCTTTTTGCAAAATACTTACTATTCCACCCAATTGAATTTCATGTATGCATACAATTAATAACATTTGGACTATGAATCAACAACACAATACCATATTCAAAGTAATTTGTGTTTGACCTCTCCCGACTCAAGGTTAAAAAGTATAGTCACTAGGTAGGTGATGATTTTTTATATAGAAGATACCAGCATTCGTAATGACAGGATGAGAGAATATAGGGAAAAAAGGTTAAAATTAGGGATGTCAAAATTGTCAATAACTGATATTCGAATATTCTAGAGAAGTATTCGAATATACTGTAAACGTATTACATTTGGCTGTGTATTCTATTTAGCGCCTTTGGCGGAAAGAAACGTCTGCTGATTCAAGTACAACGCTAAATGTCTTGCACATATACTCATGTATACGTAAATGAATAAATGAGCTAAATCAAATCTACGCTAACCTGTTCAAAAATCAATTTCCGCCAAATATAGTTCACGCCAAATTTAATACATTAACAGTATTAGAATATTCGATAAAATAATACACATTTTGCATTATGAAATATACATTTTATCTCTCCCATCAACCAGTTTACGCGTTATGTCTTATTGTGGAATAAAATTTCATGCAGAGTTTTGTAAATGCAAAGTTATTATATTTTTTAAAATTTACAGAATATATGAAGACTATAGATCCAAAATGTTATGAAAATTTGTTTTTGAAACTTCAAAAGATTCTTTACTATTTTCCAGATTAATTGGTTGTCTTACCAAAGTCTACACTAATTACTCCTACAAATTTATACCACACTAAACAATTATCTTCTAACGAAAAATATTATGAATTATTTTTATCTAATTAATTTCCTGATAATTATTTTTAACGATATACACATAAACAAGGAATCCACGTGTTTTCTGTAAAACAGTGTCCTTACAACAATACAAACTGATTGTAAGCACTAACTGGCACTGTTATAACACTAGTTAAATGATCAAAGAATAATTTATTCTAATAGTTCCACTCTTCACAGTTTTGGAGTAATCCATCATGATGGTCTTTTAATTAAAAAAAAAAATCAAATCTTATTTCCAGTCAACGCTACGAACTTGATTCAATTTCAAATAAAACTTGCCAGATTTTTCTCTCTATTTAATGTCTGTATACTTAAATATATGTACAAACCGAATATTTGAATCCTATATTTATATTCGAATATGAACTCATCGAATGAATATTCGAATATTCGTTGACATCCCTACAGTTAAAATCGCTTCCTTGAGGTTAATAAAGATTTGAGTCGCTCCACTTTAGTCAGTCGGTCAGATGAGGGCAAACAAACATTTTATTTTAAAGATGGCCCTACATGTAATGTTGATTTCTAAAACAGTAATAACATTATTTACGTAAATCATTTATAATTCTAATCTTTACTTTCTTACATAGACAAACATGAGGGGTTTGTTTGTTCCGGTAGAGTTTGAGGTAGAGTTCAATGTTTCCACTACTGGTAATACACAGTGTACTGTTAGCTGTCCAGTCGTCAACAAGTTTGATCCAAATAACGACGACCCACTTGCAAAGACTCGAAAATACTCGGTAAGTGATCAACTGCTCTGAAATTGCATGTGCTTCAAAACGAACGTTCTTATATATGTATGTGTATTTTGTATAATGCATGAAAATTGATATCAGGTGTTTCAAATTATATTTTCAAGATTAGGCACTAAAAAATTCTTTTGGAAACATCCTGATGAATTGAAATTCAGTACTGTGTGCTTATATATAAAGAAAGGAGTGGGGTGTCAAAAGGGTTTGAATGAAGGGAGAAATTGGAAGGCGAAAAGTCAATTCATGATTTAAACCCAGGAAAATTTTGCGTAAAAGAAATGATTTACAGAATAGTTTTTACGATCTTGTAATGCTTCGTAAAGGGTCAATCCTCAAGAATCTGATTATACCAAAGTCATTTTCTTTACTCCGGGCAATTTAATGTTACATCTGAAAAGACAATATGTTGAAACAAATATCTTGTTTTCAGTATGAATTGGAAAGGACTGGATGTGGAGAAGATAACGTTTGTCAACCAGATATTCAGATTTCAGTCACGTCATTGGATAGCATTGTAACAGGACCACAAGCAGAATACACAGCAGACATCGCCATCAACAACGAAGGAGAATCATCTTATGAGACAGTGATCAGTATTACATATCATTCTAATCTGACATTAGCCGACACAGGAAACACCAGTCAGGAGTTCCCTGTGACATGTTCTCCTGCTGTTGGCTCAGTGCAGTGTATTCTGGAAAAAGAACAATTGAAGAAAGACGAAATGTTCAGTTTCAGAATAACACTTGATAGTAGAAGTCTGTTGCCTGTGATCAACGAATTTGAGATGAAGGTTGAGGTGAAATCGAGAAGGAATGATAACAGTATGGAAAGTAAGCTGTATAATAAAATAATCAAAGTACTGACAGTGGTGGCAGTCACTTATAACCTGTAAGTATACATTTTTATATTTTCATATTCTCTGATTTTTACTATGTACCTGCACTGAATTATCGCGTTAATCGCACTATGAATGCAACTTCCAGTTAAGTGCAGTTCCTTTCTTTTAATCTCACAGTACAAGCTGTCCCATATAACACATTCACATGAAGATACAAATGCATATACGCATGCAAATGGAATATATATTTTTCGAATATAATTCACAAAGCATTTTTGTATGGAATGGATATTTAGTCAAGTAGGGTTTGCTTGTAAATTGATTTGTTTACGCAAACAAGTTCAAACGACCCCCTCGACAAACAAAACTTTTAAAACCCAAACATGCTATCAAAATACAAAACAGGACTAGCTTACATAAAATACCTCACAAGAAAGATAATGTAAAATTGATGACAGGGTGGTCTAGACTTGTTACATACTATTTTTGTTAATTACATATTACACAAATTACGTTCTATCTACACTTGTACAGTTTACACAGTAAAATTTTGAAACTTAAGTGACTCGTATATTTTACCAAGTTAATATTCAGATGTTTATTTTAGATCACCCGTCCCTGAAGTTTATATTACGAAAACAACCCCAGAAAGTCCTTCTGTAGAAGTAATTCACAGTATACTGATCGTGAATACCGGGCCTAGCCACCTGATGGACGTATTGACCTTTAACATTGAATATCCTCAGTCCACACTAGTTAGACCGTCGAAAATTGTAAGTTGTCGAATACAAATTACCGAGATTAAAATCTTTATGACATTTCGACAAAGATGGTATTATTAAGCTTTAAGAATATGCCACCATAGAAAAACAAAATAATAATTATGAAGATCATATTACTTTGTAAACTTAATTCAGCAGTGCATGTAACTGTGATAAGCATTGCCTCTATGTCCTTAATTGGCAAAAATATGACTAATAATTAATATACTTGTTTGTGCATGTAGAAACATTGTTTTTAATGCACTTCGAATACATTTATACATGTACACTTAACAGCTGATTGGAAGTTAGCGCTGCATTTTAAGTGCCTAAATACATTTTTAACAGGCAAATATTTAAATGCATTTTATTTTTTTTTTCTCTTAGCTTTTGAATGTTTCCTCAGCCAATAACGATACTTTGATACGATGCCAGAATGTTCTTCTGGAACCAGAGGGCGACACAAATCTGACCTACAGAGCTTTCACTATTCCCATAAACAAAACGAAGAACTCAGAGCCTGCTGGCAATTTTGTAAGAAAATATCGAATATACAATAAAATACGATGACATCGGATATGATATAATAATAAATAATATACTAAGAAATAAGTTATGTAGTTTTAAACAAAGTTTTGCACTAAAAAATACGTATTTATCCCTTTTTGCTTTTGTGTAAGCGTGTTTTACTGTGTATTCTCTTCACATTTTGTATTTTAGCTCACCTGAGCCGAAGGCTCAAGTGAGCTTTTCTGATCAAAATTTGTCCGTTGTCTGTCGTCGTTGTTGTCGTTGTTGTCGTTGTTGTCGTAAACTTTTCACATTTTCATCTTCTTCTCAAGAACCACTGGGCCAATTTCAACCAAACTTGGTACAAAGTATCCTTGGGTGAAGGGAATTTAAGTTTGTTCAAATGAAGGGCCACACCCTTTTCCAAGGGGAGATAATCATGAATTTGTTAAAAATTAATGGCATTTTTAAAAAATCTTCTTCTCCAGAACCAATGGGCCAGGAAAGATGAAACTCGTGTGGAATCATCCTCAGGTAGTGTAGATTCAAGTTTGTTCAAATCATGACCCCCGGGGCTAGGGTGGGGCCAAAATGGCCGACCCAAGTTTTACATAGGAATATATAGGAAAAATCTTTAAAAATCTTCTTCTCCAGAACCACTGGGCCAGGAAAGATGAAACTCATGTGGAATCATCCTCAGGTAGTGTAGATTCAAGTTTGTTCAAATCATGACCCCCGGGGCAAGGGTGGGGCCAAAATGGCCGACCCAAGTTTTACATAGGAATATATAGGAAAAATCTTTAAAAATCTTCTTCTCCAGAACCACTGGGCCAGGAAAGATGAAACTCATGTGGAATCATCCTCAGGTAGTGTAGATTCAAGTTTGTTCAAATCATGACCCCCGGGGCAAAGGTGGGGCCAAAATGGCCGACCCAAGTATTACATAGGAATATATAGGAAAAATCTTTAAAAATCTTCTTCTCCAGAACCACTGGGCCAGGAAAGATGAAACTCATGTGGAATCATCCTCAGGTAGTGTAGAATCAAGTTTGTTCAAATCATGACCCCCGGGGCAAGGATGGGGCCAAAATGGCCGACCCAAGTTTTACATAGGAATATATAGGAAAAATCTTTAAAAATCTTCTTCTCCAGAACCACTGGGCCAGGAAAGATGAAACTCATGTGGAATCATCCTCAGGTAGTGTAGATTCAATTTTGTTCAAATCATGACCCCCGGGGCAAAGGTGGGGCCAAAATGGCCGACCCAAGTATTACATAGGAATATATATAGGAAAAATCTTTAAAAATCTTCTTCTCCAGAACCACTGGGCCAGGAAAGATGAAACTCATGTGGAATCATCCTCAGGTAGTGTAGATTCAATTTTGTTCAAATCATGACCCCCGGGGCTAGGGTGGGGCCAAAATGGCCGACCCAAGTTTTACATAGGAATATATAGGAAAAATCTTTAAAAATCTTCTTTCCAGAACCACTGGGCCAGGAAAGATGAAACTCATGTGGAATCATTCTCAGGTAGTGTAAATTCAAGTTTTTACAAATCATGACCCCCGGGGCAAAGGTGGGGCCAAAATGGCCGACCCAAGTTTTACATAGGAATATATAGGAAAAATCTTTAAAAATCTTCTTCTCCAGAACCACTGGGCCAGGAAAGATGAAACTCATGTGGAATCATCCTCAGGTAGTGTAGATTCAAGTTTGTTCAAATCATGACCCCCGGGGCAAGGGTGGGGCCAAAATGGCCGACCCAAGTTTTACATAGGAATATATAGGAAAAATCTTTAAAAATCTTCTTCTCCAGAACCACTGGGCCAGGAAAGATGAAACTCATGTGGAATCATCCTCAGGTAGTGTAGATTCAAGTTTGTTCAAATCATGACCCCCGGGGCAAAGGTGGGGCCAAAAAAAATTACATAGGAATATATAGGAAAAATCTTTAAAAATCTTCTTCTCCAGAACCACTGGGCCAGGAAAGATGAAACTCATGTGGAATCATCCTCAGGTAGTGTAGATTCAAGTTTGTTCAAATCATGACCCCCGGGGCTAGGGTGGGGCCAAAAAACCCAAGTTTTACATAGGGATATATAGGGAAACCTTTTAAAATCTTCTTTTCAAGTACTTCAAAGCTATGATTAGTGATATTTATATGGAATCATCCTCAGGTAGTGTAGATTCTAGTTTGTTCAAATGATGAATGCCTGGAGGGGGAGGGGGGGAGTAAATTCAAGCCCGATGTGCTCAGGTGAGCGCTGTGGCCCCTGGGCCTCTTGTATCAATTTCTTTCACCTTATGAAGGTAATTACATGTATGTCGGGAATATATTGAGGAAATTCTAGAAAAAAAAATTGTTTTACTGTTTTTGTATTAGGATTGTGAAAAGAACGAAGAATGTAGTAGAGTCAAGTGTGATATTGGAACCTTTATGTATGATAGTTTTATATCGGTGACCATTTCCTACGATGTTGAGCAGAATCTGTATGAAATCATCAATGTGAGTACGTTAAGACATTCTGTGAAATTGCTGTTAATATATTTGACATAATGAAATATTATCTCTTTCATTTCTCTTGAAAACAAAGTTGTTTTTCAATATTTAAACACTGCTTTACAAGTCACTTGCACAAAATTCTTCAGCTCGATGAAACGTACAAGGACGAATATTTCAAAAACACATTTACTTTTATCCTGCTTGATCATGTTGATCTTTGTGATATTACTATAATTACAGACGTACATATAACTCTAAATGTCTTTCTTTGATTTTAATATAAGAAATAATGCTGCATTCGTATACAGAAAAAAGAATAAATCACTTTTGCTGGATATTATGCATTCAACGTGTCTTGCAAAATCAATTCCAATACTAACAAGAAAGAGATAATTTTTATTGTAAGCTTATTATAAAGTACAACAATTAATGAGTTAAAAAAATTGAAATAAGATCTCTTTAATAATTAAAGCGAATTGATTTTGTTTTATTGCCAAAAGTACATTTGCAGTTGAAAAACTTTCCTCGGTCAGCATCGATGAAAAATTGTGTTTTATTATTTCTAAAGGCTCAGGCAAGTGACAATAAACCATTTGTCCCAATAGCAACAACATTTATTCCGGACACGGAGAACCCAGGGGTAGACTTAAAAGGTCAAGGAAACGGAATGGTATGTCTGAGTTACTTTTTAAAGAAAAAGTTTTGAAGAGATAAATGTAGCATTTGTGTAACAATATATTTTAGAACAACCCTCTCATATACATTTAATATTATGAAGGTAACGAATAATCAATCTAAAAAATTCAGTATGGAGAAAAAACATGAACTCCAGGAATCAATAGAAATGGGATCACGTGGGAAGAATCAGTAAACATCTCTTTTTGACCTGTTAACCCACCATGAGCCTTGTGTATTGAACAGGCATACAGCTTACTCTGTTGTGAAATTAAGCATGAAACAATGACCAAACAAATGATACCAAATGGTAGGAAAATACGACTCAACTCTAGATTGTATTTACGAACAACAAACCATTATTATTTTTGCAAAAAAAATCGGTTTTCATGAACATTCCTGAATTTGCATTATGTCTTGTCTAAATGTTAATGATACATAAATATAAGGAACAGTTATAAAGATCAAAAATCCATTGAAAGAAAACGAAGTTAGAGCAGAACAACTAATGATAATAGCAAATGTGGGACCAGATGCTATATAGCGGTAAACATCCCTTTTTTCTATAGTTTTTAGATTAAGTTTATGTGTTCACATATTTTACATGTAATATAGATGTATGATGAATAGAGCTATATCTTATGATCAAAACATTAACGACAGTGTTGAAAATTAAATAGTCGAAAATTTGACGGAAGGAAAATTCTCTAGAGTTCAATTGTAGGTGAAAGTTGTAACGAAATTTCTTCCCAGTACACCGATGAAGAAGGAAGTTCCTGTGTTGGCCATTATCCTATCCATTGTTAGTTCATTGGGAATTCTCGTGGTTGTTGTCCTAGTACTAAAGAAGGTTGATTGTGGATAATTTTGATACGAATGTATTTACCAACTTAATATCAAATAAGAAAGAAAATATATTTTTAATTCATATATTTCCAGGTAATCAATATATATAAAGCTTCAAAAAGAATTAAACGTTTTACAAATTACGAAAATAAAATGTAAAAAGAAAAAAAAAATGATTATTGACAGGACTTATCAAAGGGTGAAACAAATGTCTAAATTAACTTTTGAAAATTATAAAAATTATCACATGATCATTTTGCAGAAAGGATGTTTTGAAAACAGATATAGAAAACAACTCGAGTATCTGAGAGCATGCCAGAGAAAAACAAATGAAAATAATGTTATAGATGATGCATGTAATCTGGAAGGAATGGAGAACGAAATCGAAGAAAAACCTTTGTTGTCAACATTTTTAAACACCAATAAAAAAAGAAACAACTTTGAAATAGAAGAAGACAAGCTGGGATCTCTCGAGAATAAAGGTAAAAAGTACATGTATATGAAATTGTTTGTTGGTTTTTGGCTTAAGTATTAAGATTTAGATTCTGTGGAATTAGTGAATACTTTAAATGTCTCGACTTATTTATTTGAAAAAAAAACAAGATGCCAATATATTTTATTGATGTGACAGACATGGTACCATCATCGACTAAAGAAGAAAACAAATTAGAAACAAGGTCAGATTATTTTTTATTTGTATGTCTCCGTTGTCGTATTTTGTTGAAATATTTTTATAATATCGCATTCCAAAATGAAAAGTTTATGTCTAGGACTGCTATTATGGATCCTATTTAAATATGATAACTCTTAATAAGAAAAACCCAAACTTCTCCGTTTTTATCAAAAATAATAACCTAGCTATACAGGACCCTTTAGACTTTTTTCGTTAGAATATATCTTAGAAATGCTTATTATCATAATCATATTTCACCAAATGAACGAGTCAGACGCAAATTGTAAATAAAGATATTTGTATTAATACAAAAATATTTTGACAGCTCAAATAACCATCAAATTGCTCACTTCTGTCCATAATCCTTAAACACTAGAACATCTTATCTTATCCTCCTTCAATGAATCAAAAGTTTGTAAAACAGTCTGTCGTATGTTGCCACTTAGTGACGTTCAATAATTTGTTATTATTAT